AATTCAACATGCGTGTACGAGATTGGTGCGAGCAGGGACGATGGCAAGAGCAGCCTCTGCACCCTCATGTTCCTTTACCCCTCGGAGGCCGCAACTGGCAGACACTTCTGTGGCCCAGTCCTCGCATGCCTCGGCCAATGACCCCGGGAGCTGTCTTGCAGGCCGGTCCCCGAATCCCCCCCCTCATCTCGCGCACAATGGGTCTCGTCAAGGGCCGCCAGAGCAGAGATGAGCATGCCGAGCGAACGCGGGCTTCGCGCTGGGTAGCTCGCTGAGGCGCCGCTCGCCTGGCCCCGGCTGCCTTTTTCTCCAGCCGGAGCGAGCGCCTCACGCGGAGTGGGCGCACACGTTGGGCAGCATGCCCGGGTGCCGCCCACCTCTAAGCCAGCACTCCTGTCAGCCAACTCCTCCAGCCAGCACTGACACTAAGCCACCTAACCTGTGCATCCCCTGTCAGCCAACTCCTCCAGCCAGCACTGACACTGCAGGGCGAGTCCTGCCCGAGGCGGCTGCGCGCCGGGGCCATCTACGAGAGGGGGGGTCACCCGCGGCCCCAGGGTTGCCCCTGGCAGACAACAGGCCCAGTCCAGAAGCCAGGCGTCTCCAAGGAGCGGCCTCAGCTGAGGCCTCTATCCCGGCCCCCTGGGGACCCGCCATGCGCTGGCCCAGCTGCGCCGACAAAGAAGCACTGTCGACTGAGTGTCTAAAAGGCCCCTCTCACCGGCATGCTCGGCGGCCTGGCTCGCGCCTCGGACCCTGCGGGGCGCTGACCCACTCGGCGCCTCGTTCGAGTCGAAGGTTGCGATCTCCACGCCGCCCCACAGCACTTTCCCCGAGTCGCGCCCACACAGCCCTCGGTCGCGCGAGCCTCCTTCCTCGGTGGGGAATCTCGTGTGCCATGACCGCCACCAGGCAGTTTTCGTTGTGATCAGACCACATCACACCAGAGGATCTATTAACCAAGCATGGCCGCGAGGATTGCTTTGGCAAAGCAAAAAAAAACCTGGGCTGAGTCGGCGAGATCGGTTCTATCTTCTGCATGGCTGGTGTGGGGCGTTCCACCTTGGCCTCGGGCATGGCTCCATACCCCTGGGAGGCTCTCGGCGTGCTCCGTCGGCATTGGTGCAGTCGGCGCCGCCGTTGCAGCCGCGCTTGAGGCCGCCGTTGCGGCCGCCATCGTCTCCACCATCCGCTGCTGCTCTTGATCCCAAGTCTCGCCATGCAGCGACGGATCCACGCGCGCCGCGGCGAATGGCGCGGCCGCCGCGGCCGCCGCGCCGAAGATCGGCGAGGGCCTGCAGGGGTGGCGGCGACGGGACGGCCAGGGGCGGGCCCACCTGGGCGCGGGGGCGCACAGCCGCACCCAGATGGGCCCGCCGCTGCCGCCACAGGCGCGGCAGCCTGCACACCCGGCCTGGGCAGCCGCCGCCCCAGGTCGGCTGCCCAGGCGGTGGCGGCGGGATCCCTGCCCGCCCTGCTATGGCACGTCCTCGGCATGATGCCGCCGAGACGCGTCTTGGTGCCGTCCGTGCCGGACGCCTCGCCGAAGTCCACCGTCGCTACTGCAGGCTGCGGTTGATCAGACGACGCGAAGATCGGGACAAAATCGGATCGGGATAACTCGAAATCTCTGGGAATCGGCGGGTTTGGAGGATGTATTGGGCGCCGCGGCCGCTCCAGAGCGTTCCGGAACGCTCTGAGAGCGCTCCGGAACGCTCTGGAGCGATTTATCCCGATCCTAGCCCTGTTTTAGTTGATGCTTCGGTGCTCCGTGCCGACCGACACGCACACCACCACGCTGTGCACCACCACCCTGAGCTGCAGCGCCGCCTCCTCCAGTGTCGTCCTGCCGCACCTCCGCATCGCAGTCCTCCTTCTTCGGCCGATCCTTCGGCTCCGCTCTCAGGTCCTTGACCAGCTCGTCGATCTGCTTCTGCCCCTGCTCCTGCAGCAGCGCCAAGCGAGCACGCGCAGCCCGTACTCGCTCCCAGCACGTCTCCTTCTGGCCCGCATCTCCAATGGCATGGCTGCGTCGTAGGTAGGGTGAGGGCGAAGGGGGGGTCCCTGGATGTCGCTGACCTTGGTCTCAGAGCGCCCAGTCGCGTCCGTTTCGCCGCTGTGCGGCCCGCCAAGGCGAGCTTCCCGATCTCGACCATTCTGGCACTGGCGAACTCTTGGCAACGCCGCATGTTATCATTCTCCTGCGGTGGCTCCTGGAAGCCATGGCAGTGCTGGACGCCTCCGCTCTCCACACGGGCACCACCCTCGCCACGAGCTCCTCGACCCGCCGAGCCTGGGTGCGATGCTGTGACCTGGCACGGCTCGGAGCGCGTTGGCGCCTCTCCTCGCGCACCGCCTCGCCCTTCCTCTCGCGCGCGCGGTCGTGCCGCTCCCTCGTCGGCGCCCGCGTTCCCGAGGGCCCCTTTCCCAGCGTCGGCCCAGGCGAGCGCCCCCCCCCCCCCCCCCCCTGCAGCGGCCGCTCCTCGAGGGCGCGCCCGCGCGGGCGGGAGGAGCGCCCGCGCACGCGGCGGCCGCGCGGGCAGCCCCACGCGGCCCCTGCGCTCGCGGCTTGCGCGGGGGCCCCGCAGGCTGAAGTCGGGCACGCCCCTCCACAGGAGGAGTGTTCAACGAGTAGTCGAAGAATGGTCTGGGGGCGATGTTCCTGGTATTTGTTTGATCGTTTGGGGGAGTCTGTTTCGGGTACGTCGTATGGTTCGTGCGAGATCCCCCTGTGGGAGGACATGCCCTACCTAACCCGTAGCCCACGGCCCGCCATCTCTGCGCGGGGGCTCCGTTGTGCCGAGCGGTGGGCTGAACGCAAACCCCTCGCCCCGTTGAGGGAGGGGCGGACGCGCGTGCGGTCTGCGGCGCAGGCAGGCTCCCGCGGGCGCCGCGGAAGGAGCCGCAGTGGAGGCAGTCGTGGCCGAGGGCGCGCGAGCTCCCCGACGAATGCTGAGGTTAGGCACAGGGGACGTGCCCCCTCTCACGGGGCCCCCAAACCCTCCCGGGCCCAGACATTCCTCCTCCTCCTCGTCCTCCTCCTCCTCCTCTTCCTCCTCCTCTTCCTCTTCCTCCTCCTCTTCCTCCTCCTCCTCCTCCCCCTCCTCTTCCTCCTCCTCCTCCTCCTCCGCCTCCTCCTCCTCCTCCTCCTCCATCCATGTCCTCATAGATACTCCTCCCTGTCGCTCCCCGAGACGTGCTGGTGGGGCGGGCTGGGCGTTTCGCCCGAGGCCACTTTCAAGCTCGAAATCTGCAAGAGCGTCACGGATGGAGGGCGGGCTGTCTCCAACATGCGGTTCTCGCATCAGTGCCGCGCACGTCTGTTGGAAAGTTCTGCAAGTGCTTCACGGATTGAGGGCGGGTGGTTTTCAAAATGTGGTTCTCGCTCCAGCGCCGCGCATTTGTTCGTTTGAACGAAACCAGAGCTTCACGGATGGAGGGCGGGCCGTTTTCAACATCTATTTTTCGCTGTAGCGCCACAAACGCTGACCTTTACAACAGCCTTACTCATGGAGGGCCGGTAGTTTTCAAATTGTGGTTCTCGCCATGGCGCCGCGCTTATTCGTTTCAAAATTCTGCAAGAGCGTCACGGATGCAGGACGGTGCCTTGTCAAAAAGTGGCCCTCGCCTCAGCGTCGCGCAGAAATGTCATTTAAGATACAGCATTTTCGAGGAGTCTTGTGGTTGACGTCCCAGGAATGGCACTCCGGCGCGATTTCGGATTGTCAGGGGGCCACAATTATGTTGATTCGCGGCGCTGAAGTCCCAGGAATGGCGTTTCGGCACGGGCGAGGATTTTCGGACGGTTGTCCTCCAATTAGGGTCTTCCCCCAGTGCAAAGGGGCCTATGAAGAGCGAGTGCTGAGGGGGAGTTTGCAAAAACGTCGTTGATGCGCCTTGGCTTTGCACTGGTCCTCCTCCTCTCTTTTCGGTTTGGTCTGGTCTACAGTCAACGCGCATAGTAAGCACAAACGACTTTTTCAAGAGTACCCTCGGGTCCTTGCCTGCCTCAGCCTCTGCGGCCCGTCCCCAGCAGTTTTCGCAGGCCCGTCTCTCCGGCTCCCGTGGGGGCTTGGCCGCCTGCCGCCCGGGCTGCTGCAACTTCGGCCTCCAAGGGTCTTGCGTCCTCACCACGCGTCCTCACTGTACGTTTTCACTGTCGCCGTGCGAACCCCAAGCGGGGGGGCGCTGTGCCGATCCCCGGGGCAGAGGGCGGGCACGGCCCCGTCCCTCTCAGGGGCTCCGGCCGTGGGGCAAAGTGCCCCGCGCGCGGGCCCGCAGCGCGGAAGCCGGGTCTCGCAGTTGCGCAGCAGCAGTCGCAACTCCTCCTCCTCCTCTTCGTCCTCCTTTTTTCTTGGCCGAGCTCAGAGCGGTCCAGCCGCTGCAGCGTCAGTGTGCTCGGCAGTCGGCGCCCGACTGCCGAGCGATGCAAGGGCACAGATGCCTCGATCTTCTCCGAGGCCCACAACGCGCCTGAGACGCAGCAAGGAACATGCATCTCTGTGCCCGTCGACCAAAATCACCTGAAGGTACCCACCCTCCTCCCAACCACAAGCTCGGACGGGCACAGAGCCAGCACTGTAGCCGTCGATAGACAACTACATCAGGAGCAAGTAAGAGAAGAGGAAGACGAGTAACATCTTAGACTGTGAAGAGAGGGAAGGAGAGGCTCGCCCCTGGTGGCACGCCGCCAGGACGACGAGCGACAGCTCAGCACGAATTTGGGGGACGGGGAGGCTTGGGGTGGCGCTCGACGGTTTGTTTCACCCGCCTTACCACTTGCGCCTCCCGTGCCCTCCCCGTCCCCTACAGAAGGCCACACAGCCGCCCCCTTGGTCGGCCCCTCGATAGTTCAACTACTCCGTGGTAGCGCAGAACACGAGTAAGACCTTCGTACCCGAGGGGCCGCCAAGGAGGGGGACGAATACGATTACTCCTCCTCCACCGACTCCAATCAAAGAACTCCTCCTCCAAGATGTTGTCGCCCAAGGCGACAGAACATGCGGTACCGCGCGGCACCTCACAGCCTAAGGCTGGGCAAAGCACAGATACAAGTCCACCCTCACTTACGCACACATCCAAAGCAACTTACAAGCTCCTGCGAAGACTCGCCGACAGAGTCATGAAAAAACGGGCCCTTTTGAAGGCCCGTCCAATCAGTACACCAACATCCCGTGGAAGTTCAACCGCTTGGCTCTGTTGTCCATGGTAGTCATGACAGCAGCGTTCGGGTCCATGGTGACGTAGTTCTATCTCGAAATCACAGTGTGTATGAATAATCATCATCTCTCTAGCTTCTGCAGCACCAAACATACAACTGTCAATCTCAGTGTGGCCCACTCGGGCACCAATAGTCCCAAAGTCTGGCATGAAGTTCCGAATATTGTCGTAAGCCTTGCGCTCCACTATGACCGCCACTGGAACGCCAGCCATGGTACCTGCTTGTAGTAGTCTCCACGCCGACCTCACTTGAGAATTGTCACCAGAAAAGCTCTGTCGGCGTTGGGGAGGCAAACGTCGGATACCCCAGGGTTCAGTTTGGGTACGCCTTTGGTCAGGTCCAACTCCATGCCACGTTTTCCCACGAAGATGAATAAAAATAGCCCCTACATGGCCTGACTGCATACGAGTGACGATAGTCCTCATCTGCAACTCCTGTAGTCCAACAACCGTGCCGTCCTCGTCCTGCCCAGGGTATGTTTCCATTCCAAGGCCACATGCATGCTGAAGCGAATCTGAAAACTCAACGTCGCACTCGGCTTGAAAGACATTGAGCAATACCATTGTACCGAGGTCGCCAGTCTGGATGCGTCGAACTGCGTTGGGTACCTCACGTACTGGTAACCATACCTCAGGGGCTTTGACAGGAACAAGCCTGTCACCTTTGCCGCCAAGTGGGTCTCCATAGCGAGCCCGCTGTTTGACCACCCTGTAGTTGTATCCTTGCTGAACTTGCTTCCTCTCACGTAATAGATCTTCCTGCCGTAGAAGTTCAGCTTCACCAGCGGAGAGAAGGTCCCCATTGTCCAACAGCCATGATATACACCTGTTGCCTCGTCTGCGCAGGTGCCGTAGAAGATTGGAGCGATCTCCAAACACTGTGCCACACGCTCCACACTGCGTGCCTCGTGCAACCAGTTGGGCTCCATCAATCGGCTGATGATCCAAAAAGTGTTTGCGCCAGGCCGACTCCTTCGAGCATACCCATCCACAAGTATAGCACACGAATTTCTTCTCCAAGTCCGCAGTGACCGTCGGCGCCATCTGGGCGTTAAGACTTCTTTCTGCCATCTGCATTTGGACATTCTCAAGTTCCCTATACACATGATACTCCCATGCAGTCTTGACTTCATTCAAGAAGCTCTTCGTGTTCACTCTGGCGTACTGGAACCACTGCTGCACCGTCCACGCTGCGCGAGCTCCATCCTTGCTGTAACTATCAAGCCACTCCAAGTCGTCACGAAGCAGTGAGACCCAGGATCCACGTTCGTCAGCCAACTGGTCGAGGAGAAACCATAGGACGACAGGAGCCTGCAAAAACATCTTCCCAAAGTACATTAACCTCTTCTTACGAATAATATCTCTCAGATGCAGTCTCCTCGCAGAACATAGAACTTGTTCGTCGTTGTAGAAGCTAGTGGTCTGGCGATGGTGCTGCAAGCCTTGTGCCACACGATATGTCGCTATTCGAGGTGTCTCTAGCCGTTGTAGGAGTGCCTCGCTGAGCGCTGTCCACGTCTCGGCTAGGTAAGTGAGATGCACGTTGGCCAAGGTATCAACAAGATTCGTTTTCGCTGGCCTCGTCATGCCCCCAAATTTCGAGATCATCTGCTTAACAGGCATAGCCGCAATCTTCTGCTTCTGCACCAAATGTGCTATCCGAGGACCCATCTCGAGGCGACGGTTGATCATCGTCCCTAAGTACTTGTACTCCTTCACCACGTGCACCTGGATATCCCACCGTGTAGGTATAATCAAAAGTTCATCTTCATTATCAAGTCGATCTCTCAAGTCGACAGGTGCTTGCCTGCTAGGTATGATAAACATGGCTGACTTGGATTTCTTGTAGTTAACCAAAAAGCCGTGCGAGAGCATAGCCACATGGACTGCATCCGCGACTTCACCAGCGAGTTGTATAGGATCTTGTCCTACCTCAACCGACTGCATAATTAGCGCATCATCAACGAAGGAAATATCTGTGAGGTGGGGGTCATCTTGCAGTTCCGCAGGTGCAAAACAACTCTGGACTCCATCCACCCGCAGCGGCAAGCTGGCACCTAGCGGTCGTAGGGCCTCGTCAATGCTCTTGAGAGGCTTGCAGAACGCTGCGTTGAAGATCGCGTCGGCTAGAGAGCTCCCTGGGCGCGAGCTCCTGCGTGACCTTGCGACAGTATTGATAGTATTAGTGCCGAAGTGCGTATCTCGATGTCCTTCGATCAGTAGGGCCAAAAGGTGAGGGTGCGCTCCAAGGCCATCCAAGGCTGCTGGTTGTGAAAGGATAAAAGTCAACAGGGGAAGCATCGCTATGGGCAAGTCATGATGATGTATGATGTATTCATCGTCTCCATCTGGGTCGCCGAGTCGAGGTAAAACCATACTACGCACCACCGAGTAGAAGGCCTGTACCAAGTCAATAAAATATAGAATAGCCGATCGGCCTTGGAGTTGCGCCGCTTGAATAAACGAAACTGCAATGTGAACCAGCAGCGCAGGGCCTTTGGCAGGTCGACCTCCACACTGAGTATCGCGGAGGAGTATGTCAAGATATCGTGTGAGTTGCTGCCGTAAAAACTTATGCCAGCACTTGCTCACCACCCCATTCAACAGGATAGAACGATACGTTTGTAGTTGCTGCCCAGGTCCGCCTGTTTTAAGTAAAGGAAACACAGTGCCATGCTTCCAATCGAAGGGCTCCTGCTGGTGCACGCTAGTCTTGAACATAATCGGCCCGTAGTGCCGAGCAGCGGCGCGAGGGCAAATACGCAAAAGATCGCCATGTATATCATCCTTCCCTGGAGCCTTACGCCGCTTGACTCGTGAAAACATTCCTGCCACCAATCCAACATGAGGTAAGCAAGCAGTGTCCAACTCTGTACCATCAATGTCGTGATGCAGGCGCTCATTGTATTTTATCCTCAAAGCGTTATCGTCCATTAACTCTGCGTCCTCGATGTTCGCGAAGTATTCCAGTATCATCAAATCGGCTTCCTTGTCCGTCGTTGCCACCTGCCCTGCCGAGTCCACCAGCATAGGATATCTGCTGGACTTACCCTTCCTGCCTCCGTACTTGAGCAGTATCTTAAGTAGTCGCCATTCCCCGTGTGGTTCATTATTCGCAGCACACACATCCATCTGCCTCGAGAGGTCTTCCAAGAAGGCAGTGCGGTCAGCATCAACCGCTCGCCGAACTTTCTTAGCAGTATTAGCCAAGAATGTGCGAAGGTGATCTTGAAAGTCGTTGGCCGTGAGGCATCCCTCCCGCATTTTTTGTCCATGCCAGCGAAGCTGACGAACATCGGGTTGCCACGGCAGTTCCTGGCGAGGTCGAAAGAGCGGATCATCCAAATGGTGAAGTAGTTCTCGCCAAGGTGGTCTGGCTTCATTGTGCTCAGGAAGCCAGCGCCGTGCCCGCATAACGTACCTACGTAGTCGTACAAGTTCCATCGTAGACTCAGAAACATATCCTTTATAAGATGTCAATCTGTTGGTACCAAAACATGTTCTAGCAGCACGCCTGACCAACTGATTCGTCATTTCAAGATGGTCATTTACGTCGAGCTCCCACTCTGGCAGTACTGCGTTGTCCAAGATGGTAGTGAACTGTTTTACCTTGCTCTCGTCCTTGAGCTTAGACTGATCAAGATGCAGTGCCGAACGCTGTTTGCCAACTGTGCGAACTCCGCTCGTCCTCAGATCCAAGATAACTGGATGATGATCTTCTCCATCGCTGTAAGAGTCAAATCCATAGTCAACCTGGCATTGAGTTACTGTGTCAGCCCAATGTGAGTCCAGAAGTATGTGGTCAATACGATGTCGGACTCCAGCAATAGAGGTATATGTGTGTCCACCTTCATGCGGGTGCCAAGTAGAAGCAAGAGACAACTGGTGTGCTTCTAATACTCTGCGCATAGCTTTTGCAGGTCCATCGTCGCAGGCAGGGACACAGTATTCTGGATGAAATCTGCCAACTAGCTCCCGAGGCCCACTCGAAGATACATCTGCCTGCCCGATTTTGGCGTTCATGTCTCCAAGTACGATAGCAGGCGGCCACCGCGACATCATCTCCTGAACATTGGCCCACCAATCAGTGTACGAAATGCTCTCGTGCCTCTCGTGCGGGGCGTGCACCACGTAAACGAAGATATCGAACTCGGTTGTCGTCAGCCTGACCACCAAAAGCCTCGGGTCCTTGTAGATTAGCCTGACATTGTTTTTCTTGAACAACTTCTCGCCATTTGGCACTGAGCAATACGGTTTGTTCATGTTCACTAGCAATGTGCAGCCGAGCTTCGACTGCTCTCCTGAACCGATAATGTAGAAACCGTCTCGAATCCCTGGTGCCGCCGGTGATGGAGCCTCCTGCAGGCCAACGAGGTGCGCACCCAGTTGCTGAAATTGGAGCCGTATCTGCTGTCCTCTGTGAAATTGCCCTGCTTGCGGCTCACCCATGTTGGCACGTTGTGTGTTGAAAGATATAACCCGAAGATTCACGCTGAACGGTATAGTCTTAGTAGCTGTCCCTGTAGGTACTGCAGTCGGCTGGAGTATGGCTTGCTGTCGTATTGCCTGATATGTGAAGCCATGCTCCGTGAACTTGGGGTAGGCCGCGCTGTCCAAGTCCTCTCTATCTCTCAACATTGCCCATCCCCAGTTCAATACAGGATTGAGCTGTACTACCAGTTGCTGTGGAAGAGGTGGAGGTGGATGATCCTTCGCATGCTTCGCAATCACATCCGACATCTCGTTCCAGGGGTGCCCGTCATGACCAGCTGTGTGAGACAGGGTGATCCTCCTG